CCAAAAACCTTCAAGGCCGACACAGCCAATGACTGCTCACGCTGGCCGTTGGCATGCCTGCCACTAAACCCTCACTTAGGTCCCGACTGGTTTCCTGGCTGGTCGTGCGCTCCGAATTCAAACTTCTCTCTGTTTATTCTCCGTTTCTCTGTATCCAGTAAACTATACCTTCTACTCTGGACTCCAGCGACTTCTTCGCTCCTAAGGAGCCATTGTCTGAAAATCGCAGTTGCCAGGGCTTAACTTATTTACCCCCCAGTGATATAGTCACCTGCCCACGATGGCAGAGACATGTTGGACTCGCGTAGGCAAAACAGGGCTCCGGCAAACTGTCAAATAATGCCAAGCTGCATAAGAGAAATCATTTCTCATAGCTCGTTGAATTTTCATCTTAAATGAGACAAACGTTAGACTGCGTGTATTGCGGAGTTAAGTTTGGTATAATAGCCTCGACCGCGATGCAGCACAAACATATGCTTGTGCCCAGAAGACAAATTAGGGGTTAACACCTAGCTTGTGAAGGATGGAAGATCTAACAGTGCGAATTGCGCTAACCGTGACCTGCGCTCCACAGTGATGTTCTCAATGGTTTGAGTTCAATATTTAACGCTAACGACACTACATATCAATTTCGGCGGTCATAAAGGTTCGCTGTGCAGGATGTGACGAGCCTACCGATAATAAGACGAGATGGCAAAAGTATGGTTTCGGGCACACTGCAACAAGCCAAAGTCCCTGAATTGTGCGATGTGGGATCGGTGGTGGTAGGGGTCAATGGGTGGGGCATATCAGAAGCAAAATAAATAACTAAAAAGTAGAATGTGTAAAAGTAGAAACTTGTAGGAATAGTTATTTAAGTGACCTAATGTTTGACGTGCGATAGCTAAAACGAGGAATACAGTCAACAGGAAACAAAAACCGTCCAATAGTTCCCGCGAATTGGATTCAATCGTATATCGACTCAGTACCACAATCCGTATCAGTTTATTGAATTTTATAGGATTATAGAGCTAAAAGTAAAACCACACAAGATAGGCTTTTCCGCCATTTAAAAAAACTCACAATAGTTTCCCTTGCATTTGGACAGATATTGCAGTATGTTAAGCCAAACGCAACTGCATGTTGCCAAAAAATAAAACCAAAATAAGCTAAACCTAAAGTAAAAACTACAGAACTGTAACCGATGTGGCAACAAGAACTCAGAAGTCGAGCACTGCCGTGGCGCAATGGTAAGCAGTTCGAGGGGCTGATCTGATAAAGACACTAACAAATAGAATCGTCGAATTTATTTCTCCTTGAGAGCCTAGCAAATCTCCCAAATTGCATCCTCTATCCAGCGCTCGTGGAAAACGGCTGTCAGGCATAAAACGGGCCCCTACCAATCGATGATACCCCAAGGCCCAGTTCCTCTTCAAAACATCAACAAAAATTCCTGAAAATGTTAAAAGAGGCTCACCGCAGGGCCGCCCGATGGAAAATGTCTCCCACCGCAAGTGTCGTACGGAATTCGTGGTGGAAGGTTTAATGCAGGATTAATGCGTTTTTTTTATGCGCGATAGGTACGCAATAGGAAATGAATTAAATTTATTATGAGAAAAGGCTGTGGGAAGGAAAAAAAGACTTACAAGAAAGCCTATAGACCAAGGGAATTATTAGAACAAATCCCACGACTCCGAGAAAGGACCATTGGGAAGTTAGGAGATCCTCCTGAAAATATTTTTCTCTGCCTCGTGTCCCTCGGGAACCTAAATGTTCCTATAAATCACCTGTCATTCAAACGATAGAAGCCATATGGACGTACTCAGTCTAAACTGCTCCTGTCTCATTGGCTACTAACCATCAGCAGAATTCCATTTTGGCCTCTGAGATGTCAGGGCCCTATGAAAACTGATGCTTCTTCGCGAGATTTCATGTTATGCACATTAGCGAACTATACACACAGTAAATTATCACATTCGCGACGGCTATTGTATTATAAGCTTACCCTACTCCTCTGTCCTATTTTCCTAAGCAGTTTTTTCTCCTGCACGCTTTTTGAAAATGTGAGCACGTTGAACTTTGCTTCCATTTTCATTGTAGGAGTTTTCTAACTGCCGATTTTCAAGTTCACCCTTAATTGCAAAGCATCGCCAAATTTTGCCATTACAAATTACAAATTTGCCATTATTACAAATTTGGGCATTTATCTGCCCAAGTTGCAAATTTGTTTGGTTTTTTTACGAAAATAATTTTGTATAGGCAGTGCCTTCCTGGCGCTAATAAATATTCCCAATTCCAAACCTATGGGGTACTAATCTGGTCTCCTAAAATCAGCTCTTCCAGCCTCCGTCGCCCTCATTCAGCACAGAACGCCACCTTCCGCTCAATCACGGGTTGCTACAAGATGTCGCCTATCGATCGTCTCCATGCGGAGGCCTCTCTGCTGCCCGTCGCCGCCCATAACGCACTCCTAGGTCAGCAGTTTTGGTGGACCTGTTCGCAACCCGGTCATCCAAATCACCACCGCTGCCACGCTTCCGATTCTTGTCGCAGTGTTTAACCGTCACTTAGAGTTCTCAACATGGAAGTTGTGGCATCATGTCTTTCGAATCTACACGCTGATGGCTATGTCAAAATGACAGGCCTCCAGCGTCTTTTTTACGAAAATAATTTTTTATAGGTAGTGCCTTCCCGGCACTAACAAATATAAATTCCAGAGTGGTTGATTAGGCGGAAATTCGACCTCCTGAAAATGTGCAAGTTGATTTTTCATTATTAACACATTCCCTCAGGCGGCTCCACCATGAGTCACTAGCAAAGAGCTCGGCAAAAGTAGCTTATGTAGGCCCACTCATATACCCCTAGCCCCACCATTTCGTCCTGCAAAAACGGTGGTTATAGAATTTTGGAGGCTGGGGAAATAGGATAGGCAGAGAAGGAAATTTTCAAAAGTATGTGTAAAGTGAAAAAATATAGTCAAAGTTGCTTCCCGCGGCCGCTGGGAGTAAGTTATTCCGCATGCAAATTGAAGATGTGCGCGGCGCTTCGCGCTGCGGACTATACTAACCTCAGGTAAATTGAAGTAGACGACCCCCTAACCACAATTTTAATTCTTCGGGAAATTCAAGAAACTTGCACTTTGATAATAGAGTTTTTCCGCAATAAGTTAAATGATAATACAGATTAGGAAAATCTACAGA